GATTCGGAGGAAGTCGACTACAAGTTTGATACTTCTTTCACAGGATGGGAAGAAGAGGAGGGCGAGGTGTGCCAACGGCGCGACGTGATCCCTGATTGAACCTTGCGGACATCGTGTCCGTTTCACGACCTCTCGACTTCCGGGGAAGTGGTATTATTATCAATTGCCTCGACGAGGCAGCATTTGGAGGCTACCCAAAGAGCGGCTCTCGCGCTCGTATCCGCGCTCGGTCATATACCCTCGTGTGGAAGACGGATTCCGCTCAGCGGATTCCGCTACTGAAACGAATGACGTTCGCATTGCGGATACAGGTGCGCCACCTCTTTAAGCGCGAAGTCGAGCGCGAAAACGAACGCGGTACCTATCCATTGGGATTTCTTGAGGTACCAAGAAGCGAGCCCGAGACACTGGTAAACCTCAGTTTGTGTAGCGACTGGAGGCCCGACTAAATAGACACCTAACGATCGAGTGATCGCTATTCCTGAGGTGCTCGCCCCTGGCGAAACCGCTGCAGCTAGTGAGGAGCTCTTTGAGCGATGGGTCCAGCGGCTTCCGAAATATCCTCGCTGTCGAACTTACAGCGGAGCCACAAGGAAGTGGACGTGCGTTTAGAACGCTAATTTAGATTTGATTTTGCCAAAGTCAAGGCGCAACATCGACTTCCTACGTCCACTGTCGCTTTGCAACATACGGAATATGCGGAATATACGGAATAATCCATCACGCTCCCGGTAGCTCTGTGGCTGCTCACACTGGTGAGTTTATGACCACAGCAGCTCAGGGCTATAGCTTGAACTCAGCGTATGGCCCTTCGGCTTCCCGGGCTACTACCGAGAAGCGCGGGGCGTACGACGACGAGCGTCATGATCCTTGTGGTTATAAGCGTCCACGACGTATGGGCAGTCTTGCCGAAGTCGAACCTCAAACTTCCACGATTCCTCAAAGTTTGGGTATATCTGCCACTTCACAAGATATTGGGTTCGACCATGGCAACCACGCCGGCCTACAAAGCGTTCCACGTGACAGTGGACACCACCATTCTCATTGGGAGGAGTCGGCGGCGGTCGATGACGACTTGGTCGATCGCCGTTCGGTTACAAGCGATAATCTTCAAGCTCTGAAGGACAAAAGTCCGCCGTCATCGACGCTCCGCCGAGCATCTTGCCGAGGTCACATACCGCTGTGCGGAAGACCTCGAGAGCATTAAGCACTTTGTGCACCGACTGCTTCACGTTGAGAACTATCGCGATCTGTTGAAGCTGCCCCTAGCCGTCAAGTAGACGAATGCGTCGCTTCGTGCGACGGTGGATCGCCCGGCGCCGTTGGAAACGGAGGTTGTTGCACTCCGTGCTCAAACCCAGATGCGTATCCAGCTTCTAAGCAAGTCCACCTAAAACACCGGCTGGGTGCGCGAAGGCTTATCGTATAGGCAAGACCTCTCAACGTCTTAAAGACAGCAGAGACTGCATGTATAGGAAGTTTTTTTTGGGTCTTCGACCTCAATTTTTTAACATTTCTCGTGCTTGCATGTCTTGGTTTAAAGCCATCGCTTCGCGAACGCGTCGTAAGAATCTCAGCCTGGTAGACAGGAAGTCATCGAATTCTTGACGGACAGTGAGAAGGTCACATCAGCTAGCCGCTCGGCTGTTCCTCTCCATCAAGCCCTGAGTCGTCGAATGGCGGCGTCAGCAAGACGCGAGGATGGATAAGCCCGTTCACGTAGAACTGCGTGTAGCCGGTAGACGCCTACACAGCATCATCTAGAGCAAACTCTACAAGTGGCAGCATCGCGCTCCAGCACCTCGGCGTCTCAGCGCAGAAGGTGCGAAGAGCATTTTCAAAGACGCGATTCACGCGCTTAAGTTGGTCATCGGTCTGTGGATGGTCCGCTGTTGTCATAGTCAACTTGGTGTCCAGCACCCTTAAAATTGCCGACCAAAACTTTTCAGTGAATTGAGGGTTTCTTTCAGAGTCGATTATCTCTTGAAGTCCATGTTATGATCCACACACAGCATCGCTGTACCCACACCGTCGATGGTGTCCGGCACTGCCGCAGGATGAGCCATCTTGCTCAAAGGTTCCACAAAGACCATCAAACTCGTGTTACCCAGCGAGTGTTTCGGAAGGCCAAACACAGAATCCATACTCATGGACTGCCAACACCCGAAGTGTACTGGTAAACTTGCCAGCGGCGCCACCGCATTCGGAGAGGGTTTCACCTTTGACATGTCTCAGACGTGCGCACATAGGTGCTCGTCCATTTGTACAGCTTGGGCCGCCAGAAGTGGCAACTCACAGAGCTGTACGTCTTCTCACGACAAAAATGATCACTGAGTGGGGTGTCGTGGGCCTCATAGAGGATACGGAATTTCAATTTCTCATCATGAGGAACCACAATTTGTGGCGTATCCGTCGAGTCGGTGCAATAATACAGCAGACCATTATTTGATTAATATCGATGCGACCGTGCGCGCAGTCGCGACGACAACTTCTTGTCCAGGATTCCAAACTCCTTGATTCCGAGAGCCCGTAGCAGCGCCTAGCACATACCATCACCCGCGTACGCGGCGTGGATTAAATCCGTTCCAGACGACGTCACCGACGTGGCATGAGCACGCTCATAATCTGGTCTGCGCGGCAACGCATCAGTCAAAGCGTTCTGCTTTCCTGGCATATACTTCACCTCAATGTTTTATTCTGCAAAAAAAGGGAGCCACCTGGCCATCCTCTGCGATAGGTGAGGCGACTGAGTTGCAGTGCGTAGTGACGCATGATCTGTGTAGATCACAAACGGCTTGGAGCCGAGCTGATGCACCTGAACTTAACAAGTGGATACTTCATCGCAACTAAGACCTTGTCGTGGACTGGGTTGCTCTTCTCTGCAGCCTTGAGCTGGCAAAATTCGAACACGATCACCCGATCTCGCTCCTCGGCGTCTGCTTGCAGCAGTGTACAGCCTATGACAACACAGCCCAAAGCGTCACAGACGACACTGAAAAAGCGATTGGGGTCTGACAACGCCAGTTTTAGAGCCTAATGGAGACTCGTCAAAAGCCTTTCGATCCAACACCATTCCGCATCCTTCTTAAGAAGATTCGGTAATGGCCACGCCATTTCCGCATAGTTCTTGCTGTACTTGTGCAAGTAGTTGGCAAGACCAAGCCACCTTTTGGTTCTTTGGAACCGGCCTGTCCACAATGGCCGTGATCTCTGCGGGATCCGCTGAAGGCCATGCTTCCCAATGAAGCACCATAAATAGCTTTTTTTTCGGCACCAAAGATGCTTCTATCTGCATTAGCATACAGCTTTTTCATTCACAGGTACTCGAGTACCGCTCTAATTGGACGATGTGGTTCTCTTCAGCTGTCATCCCGTATTGTGGACGATCATGTCGTCGAAGTATATATCTGTTCATAAGCCCGTGGTGCCTGAACAAGTGCATCTCAAAACGATTATATGTTGCTGGTGCGTTCGACAGTCCTTGGGGCATCACCAGCCACTCTCAGAGCATCCAGCTCGGAGTACTCACGCTATCAGCAGAATATCTGTCGCTCTCATGAGCAATTGGTAATACGCATCGACCAAGTCGAGAGCACTGTACTTTGTATATCCAACCATATTGTTCTGGAGAACATCCTCCTAGGAATCAGCGTCTGTGCCGAAATGGTGGCAGCATTAAAACATTTTTAAGCGTGAACAATTGGCCACTTGCCGGTCGGCTTCCAGACATAAAACTTGGATGTCGAATGGGAAGCCTTGCTCGCACGCACCATTCCAGCGGCGTGCTTTGCACGGAAGAAGGCATCATTGACGTTGCACTGCTCCTTGGGCAAAGGCCGTTGGCGTGTCACTCAGTCTTTGGCTCCTGGAACCAGGTCGATCTCATGACGCACCTCGGTCCGGAGGTAGGACCGACATAGGGTCTTTGGTACGACGTCTTGAAACTCCTTTACCAAAGAATACTACGAATTCGAGGGATCCTTCTGGATCGACAATCCACTTGGTGCGTACAGCATCCTCTTGGTATCCTCCAAGACAGCTTCATCCAGAAGCGACGACGAGTTAATCTCTTCGTTCGGTAGTATGATGCCCAGCTCGGCTAAACAGCCTGCCTTCAAGGCACTACCAAACTCTTCGAAAGACATCTCATCCAGCTCAAGTAGAGCAACCACCGCAGGAATGGCCTGAAGAGTGACAATTCCGTCTTCCTCCCCCGTGATACTGCTGACGAGGGTGTATAGCTGTGCGGTATCGTCTACAATTGACACATCATTGGTCAGGGTAGACGCCCTGCGTCTTGCGGATATCATACGGCGTCGCTGTCGCTTTTTCACCGAGGTTGTACGTATCGGCGAGACCTGTGGGATCATACACTCGGCGTCATCCAGTGTTTGTCCTACTTTCTGCTCTACTAGAGCCTTGATGTTATTAACAACATCCGCTCCTTGAATTTCGTTCCACCATACGTGAATCACTGGGACCTCACCCTCGATGCCTTGGCCCTTGGCCGACCATGCCATCAATGACATACAACGACTGCTCTAATACTTGGGAAGCACTCAGTGGGATACGTGTCATTCCACGCTCAGCCCGCGAGCCACACTCGGGACTCTCGTCCTATACAACTTCGGTGTTTGACAACTCGGATACTCCGATATCTAGCACACTAGGCCGCCCCAGTCCATTGATCGCGCCAATTGCGTTTCTAATTCCAAGCAAAGGCGGTTTCATGACTCACCAAAGCTCCACCAGGAGACATGCCCGTACCGCCCAAGGTCTTCGACCTCTAATCGACCCATGGCTCATTGTGTTTCAATCATGCCATACCAAGGATGAGGTCACACCCTGAATCCAAGTCTAAGCCTAAGCAGGGTTCCACGCTATGAAAGTTAAAAGCATGACACCGAGGTCCACAGGAGCCCTCGGCACCGTGGCATACGACCCCATCGCTAAGCGAACAGTGGCGATGTCTCACAATCGTGCCGAAGTCGATCAGGATCCTCCATGGCTTTTCAAAGCCCTTCATGGTCGACCAGCAAGTCGGCTTGCATACACGTTCCGTGCTCAATAGCACGGAGCTCTTCGAAGCTGGCCCTGCCGATCTTTACCTCTATGAGACTCAACAGAACTCAGTTCTTCCCCAGTACGATGCCTCGTGCCAACTTGGTGTTGTCGCTTCCTCACAACAAATCAGAAGACTGGTGAGAAGCGGGACACCGGTTCGATGAAACTTGACTCGCCTAGCGCAGAGAGTAACCAGCCCGACTATCCATCCCCGTACCGTATTCTTTGTTTGGGTGTGGTCACACCATGCTCATCTGGTGTGACCCACACCCCTGCTATTAGGGTATATGTAGCCCCGTTACACTTTCTCCCATTGAAATTGAGAACATTTACAGACTCAATCGATTATTGCCTCAACGAGGCTTGCGTGTCCGTTAGACACTGCGTTGAAACTAAACGACTTCCGTGCTCAATGAGCCCTGTGTCAATGACACCGAAGTCCCCAAGTCTTGCTAGTTCCGACAGCTCTCACGGGCAGAGTCCAACTTCGTCTTCCGCACGCGGTGCCATGTCGGACCGTGTGTCCGCGGCATCGAGGAATGTAAATCCAAGGCTCGATGTGCCCGACCGTCGTGCTCTGCGCACGCTATCAGTGACGAGTGACCATGTTGGAGATGTGGAGGTGGTCGACTACGAGTCTGACACTCTTTTTTCCTCGGCCCTTGGCCGACCATGTCACGCATGACATGCAGCGACTGCTTCTATACTCAAGCAGCGCTCAGTGGTTTACGTGCCTCTTCACGTGTATCACGGGGGCCTCGTCCTCGATGCCTCGGCCCTTGGCCGACCATGTCACGCATGACA